TATATATATATATAGTGTATCTATGCACGCACGTACGCGCACATACACAAATTACGTTTCAGTAGAAAATCCACGTTATAATCACGTTATTGTAAATATTGATTATATATTTGAGATTGATATATTGAATATTATTTCAACGTTGCCAGGACCCTATATACAATAACGTTATGTTAACGTTACATAAAAACGTTTTTACAAACGTTTAGACAACGTTATAAAAACCCTACACATTTACGTTATATAAACGTTACAAAAAACGTTAAACACACTTTTGCATAACGTTATAAAAACGTTTTAATAACGTTTTTGTGTTAGCTTGGATGGTACCCATCGAGATCCAAATAGGTCTTTCTTTGTGATCCTGTTGGGACCCATGTTAATTGCTCAGGAGTAGATAATAGGGAACCTAGCTATTATCTACTCCTACTTATCTACTCCTACTGTTCCCTATTATCTACTCCTGATGTTGATCCCTGTTGGGTACTAATGGAGTACGATACACGTGTTGTATATATATAATCAGGAGTTAATAAAGACAAAATTTGTCTTTATTAACTCCTGATATAATCAGGAATTTTGATACACTCCTGATATAATCTATATGGTAGTTAATCGATATTGTGTATTTGTGATCAATACTGGCAAGATCATCTATATTATTAATATTCTATCTATATATAATCAGGAGTAGACAATAGGGAATCTATATTATCTACTCCTGATATAATCTATATGCTTGTTAATCGATATTGTGTATTTGTGATCAATACTGGCAAGATCATCTCTATGATTGTTTATCGAGAATTCTTGGTTGTATGTTTCATGCAGGAATGTCGAGTGCAGACGACGATGACATGAAGGATCGCGAAGACGGCTTGCCAAGACGACGCAGGATAGGAGTCCAACATAGGTGCCGCTCTCTCTCTCTCCCTCTCTCTCTTCTTCTTCTGCTTCTTCTTCCTTTCCTCTCCCTCTGTCCCTCTCGTTTTATCGCCCCATCTCCCTCTCCCTCTTCTTCTTCTTCTTTTGCTTGTTTTAGTTCCCTCTTCTCCTCTAGCTCTCGTTTTTTTTGCCATATGGGCCTGCTGGGGATGTAGATTTCCCAGTAATATGTCAATCCGTTCTACATTCCATTTGCCATTTTGTAGAATTTCCATGCAGGCCTCAGAAATTCTGGTGCCCTAGGTCCGGTTCTGTTTATCTATTTATTTGTGAAGCTCCCTATCCCCAATCTTTCTGCTGCTGTTCAGTCTGATCTGGTCGTCATATTACCATATGTGCAGGCATCACTTGTAATAATATTGCATGTACACTCGTACATGTGTGCACATGTGTGCGTGCGTGGTGCGTCCGTGTGCTTGAGTATGAGTATGTGTATGTGTGTGTGTGTGTGTGTGTGTGTGTGTGAGCGTGCGTGCGTGCGTGCGTGCGTGCGTGCGTGCGTGCGTGCGTGCGTGCGTGCGTGCGTGCGTGCGTGTGTGTAAGTGCATGCGTGCGTGCGTGTGTGTAAGTGCATGCGTGCGTGCGTGTGTGTAAGTGCGCGACCGTCCGTCCCTCGCCTGTGTTTGTAACACACGGCGCATCATCGCTGCAGCGAGGCGCCCTCTATACCGGAGCAGCAGCAGTCGCGGCGGCGGAAACGCTCGGGGCAGCGCAATGAGATGGAGCAGCGGCGGAGAAAAGGAAGCCATGTGATGTTCCACAACGACAACCTGCTGCAGCGCATCCTGGAGGCGGACATGCGCGGCAGCGACACACTGCATGAGACGAGCGACGAGACGGACGACGAGGCTGGACCCCTCGCGAGACGTGAGTCGTTAGCGCGTGTCTCGGTCACGTGTCTCAATCGTGTCTCAATCATGTCTTGATCGTGTCTCAATCGTGTCTCGTGGTCGTGTCAGGCCTCGCGAGACGTGAGTCGTGAGCGCGTGTCTCGGTCGCGTGTCTCAATCTTGTCTTGCGGCGCGCACATCTCTCCTGTGTTAGGCCTCGAGACATGAGTCGCTCGCGAGACGTGAGTCGCGAGTCTTGAGTCTTGGTCGCGTCTCGCGGTGCGAGTGTGCCACGTGTCATGCCTCACGAGACGTGAGTCGGTGTCTCGGCAGTGTCTCGCTGCGCGCGCCCTCGCGTCTTTTTAACAGTGCGTCACCCTTTCCCGATCGGGGGCTTCTATACCTACCAAGACCCTGACCAATCCGAGTGAGTTTAGTCCGTAGTGCAGCGGTTCTTAACCTTTTTTGAGTCATGGACCCCTCTGAGAATCTGGTGAAAGCTACAGACCCCTCCCCAGAAAAATGCACGTAAGCACGTAAACACAAGACTTTGAATGCTCATGGGTTACGGACCCCTGAAGCCCATCCACGGACCGCAAAGGGGGTCCGTGGACCACAGGTTAAGAGTGGATTGGTCAGTCGTGTGTCTGTCCGTCTGCACAGATGACGCGCTGTCGTGCGCCCTGCGGCGGACCAGCACGTATCAGACGGGGCATCGGCGTCGTGTGTCAGCCGCCATCCACCACCACAGGCCGAGCGTGCCAGGCATGATGCTGCAGGACGAATACATAGGGCCGAAACCAAAGAAGTGGGACCACATACCACACGAGGTGAGGTGGGGTGCGTCGGGGCAGATCGTGTTAAAGTTAAGGGGGCCTGCGTGGGCGGATCTTTTGAAAGTTAATTTAGTGTAAGTGTAAGTTTTAGTGTAAATTTACTCTCTCTCTCTCTGTGTGTGTGTCTCCCCTCTTCGCTCGCTCTCTCTCTCTCTCTCTCTCTCTCTCTCGCTCTCGTGCTCGTCCTGCAGGTCATGCTCGCCATCTCTCCTCTCATCTCGGTCTCTCTCATCTCTCTGGCTGCTGTCTCTCGTCTCTCTCTCCTCTCGTCTGTGGTCTCCTGCGAGTTGCGTGGCGGTCTCTCTGGCTCTGCTCTGCTGCTCGTCCTGCTCTCTCTCGTCTCTCTCTGCTAGCGCGTCCTCTTCTCTGCTCTGCGTGTCTCTGCTCTCTCTCTCTCTCTGCCTGCGTCACTCGTCTGCTCTCCTCTCTCTCGTCTTCTCTCTCTCTCTCTCTCGTCTCTCTCTCTGCTCTGATCGTCTCTCTCTTCTTTCTCCTCTCTC